ATTTTATAGCATCTCAAGCATGATGGGAAGGACCACAATATGGAGGAAGCAAAGGTTGCAACAAAATCTTTTATTGCATCCAGTCACGTGTCAAAAAAAAAAACGAAGCCGCTTGCAAGCAATGAGTACTGACACAGGAAGGATATTTATTAAATAAATGCGTCTTTATAACATCACACAGCCACTAGAAAGGTGTTTGCATTAAAAGGCATTGACGGGTTTAACAAGCAATACCTGGCATGTAAACTCGGTTCTCCGTCGTCTGTCTGTAAACAAATCATACAATCAAGTGCAAATTGTATGTCTGCCCCCTAAACACAGAGATAAGAAGACAAAGCCCGCTCAGGAACTGCCGCCATGGATGGGAACATCTGGACTGCAATGCGCAGGGTGGGGTGTGTAGCAACCAATCAGAAATTAGTTTTCTGTCAAGGACCAACCCAGTCGGAATTAGAAGTGAAGCTTTGAAATACTGTTTGTGTGCAGGGGAGATCTTATGCATGTAATTGCGATGTGCCTGATTACATGCGAATGGCAGCTGTTCACAAGTCTCATGGAGCAATTCATGAGATGGCTCCAATTGCAAGTGTGAATGCTGCCAAATGAAGACATGGGATGCACCCTAAGGGTCATGTCACAACAAGGGTGATCTTGATGCTGGTGGGAAATCGCCAGCGAGACTTCCTGCCAATCTCTATGGAATTGCTCCTTTGCTATAGGGACCAGCAAGATGGCCCTTTGCAAGTGAAGTGAGATTCGGCAGTGTTTGGGGCCAGCGAGGGAGCGATTCCACAGAGGTAAGTGGAAGGTTCTGCTTTTGGCAATGTTGCCCATCTGCTCAGGGTTTCTCTTATCACCCAGTCATAGCTGTAATGCACCATACCAAGTAAAAAGAACCGGTTCAGACAAAAATATGAGGCCAGCCAGTATAGTCTAGAAAAGCTGTATAGTGACTGAGTGGTGAAGGATGAGAATGACAGGCTGCAATGGCTCTGATATTTCCTGCCCAATAGCATCATGTGACCATAATGTGACATTGGGCAATCTTGCAAAGCAGCAGTGGCTTACACAGATACGGTGGACAATGCAGACCAGTGTAGGCAACCCTGCCACTCCAGGTTTTAGCATTCACCAAATTGTTGCCCGGAGTTATTGCTATCCGAATAAAATGCAAGAATGTGCAGCAGCCAATCTGTGATGATAGAAAGCAGCATATGGAACAATGATGAAATGCACAGTGTAGTAACCACAACAGCCATATATAAGGCCCAATCAATGGGACTGCATCCTATTGTAACCTAAATCAGAGAGTTTTCCCGAATTTCAGTCAACTGAAATCCAATTGGTTGCCTATTTATGGTTTGCCTGATCACATAGCAGCAAATTTAAATATACAAAATGCTTGTGAATCTTCTATTGCACAGAAGGGCCGTTTCCTACATTCTTGTAGCTCTGGATACTACCAGGCTTGGGAGTTCCAAAAGGTGACCATCTGGTACTGCACAATGACCAGTTCTACCATGACCAGTGGTACTGCACAATGACCATGCTCAATGACCAGTTCTACCATGACCAGAACCGACCATGCCACATAACCAGTGGTACTGCACAATGACCATGCTCAATGACCAGTGATACTGCACAATGACCATGCTCAATGACCAGAACCGACCATGCCACATGACCAGTGGTACTGAACAATGACCATGCACACACAACAGTTCTCTATGACAGCGGCCTGGGTGGCTTTACTTCAATCTGCCAAGCAATGACAATGGGATGGTATCTCAGAACTGAGTGCCTAGTCACGCAATAGCTAGAGTTCGACTAGACAGGATGGAGTGTAACAGAGGTCATATCATATCTCTGTTTAGTGCAAAAAGAAAAAAGCGGACAAACAGCAAAGCTGGACTGCAAGATTAAAACAGGACACAAAGGGGTTTGCATAGTTTTTTTTTTCCTCTCTAATCACTCTGTTGCAAGTCATTTTCATGAAAGAAGTGCAAAACAAAAGCAGAAACACGAATAGCATAATATTAAAGAATAAGTACACCTTAAAAAAAAAAAGTTTGAAATAGTCATTTAATGTTTCACAAATCTTTTAAATTCATTATCTTTCTTTCTGCCCAAATGTTTTGGAGGATTGCAAGAGCTCAACTAGTCTCGGAGATGGGAGGAAGCTTATTTTGCTGCATATATAGTATAATAATCTTCTGTGCTCCAACCTATTTCTAAATATATAAACCAATATACAAAAATTGCAATACAAAATTGCAGGGTTCCTCTTATTCCTCCTATTATATCACACACACACGGATTTCCTTGTCAGAGTGGATTCAAGAATACCCGGGAGGTGTTTTATTTCTTAAAGAAGCCTATGCCACATATTTGTAGATCGCTTACAGTTTTATTTTATTACCTTATTACATTATTTCAGAATTTGGGATCACTTCTTGTGGACTTTGTTTTATTATAGTATTAATGTGTGGATGAAAGCTTTGGATCACTTTATTGAGTAATTGGAGTTTATGATGTTTACACCGTGTATATGAAATCTGTATGTACAAGGTTGTTCTTTGTACACTTTTAGATGGTAGGGTTTATATAGGAGATATGAGAATTAGGCTCAGCAATTGCCTGCCACCTAAAACATCAGGGTAAGCTGGCCATACACTAGTAAAAAAATAGTTTTCGTAACATACTTCTAATTCTCTAATAGTTATTGGGGTCGAATTGATTATCGATTTTGACCTCTGTGACAAGAAAATAAAATATTGAAAGAGCTGGATGGAGATTTTTGCCTCATAGGTACTAAATTCTAACTGTGAACGTGGTTTTCATACGAGAAAGTCCATAGGATTCCAAAATTGAATATTAAAATCAAATGACAATTTGAACAACGTTCGTCAAGTCTGATGGCATTATTAAACGTTCTGATGAGTTTGTCATATGAACATTCATATGAAAATCTACCAGTATATAGCCAGCGGAAAGGGCTTCAGGGACCAGAAGAATGCAACGAATACACCCCCTCTATTACAAAACTTGCCTCCTGTCTTGGGGAGGGACAGGAAATATAATTAACATTAGGTATTTGCTGCAAATCAGCTCACCATTTTAAAACTTACATTTAAAAGGTGCACTTATCAATTAAGACTATTCAGTTATAAAACTTTATAAAATATTTAAAGCATATACAGGTAAAGGATGACCAACACAAACTACTACCCGCTAATTATCAGCTTGGTGCAAATTCAGCATTTGCTAATAAAGTAAGCAAGATATGAAGCATGTAAGGCCAATGACCAAACTCTGGTTGAAGTCACATGACCTAAAAGAACATGGCTGGAACCTCTTGGGGTCATTGGCAGGTCTACCAGGGATTATTTTAATGAAAGCTGCAGATTTAAATGTTATGAAAATTACTTTAGCATGTTATAGCTTATATGAGATTTTAGTAATTGGGTTTACATACATATATGTAAAACATTATGATTAAAATGGGAAAACCTCTTTATAAGGGCTTGCAGGCCCCAATATGTGGGACCAAACTCAGCGTACAACTGTCCGTCTCGTTGGAGGACCACTGTCTCAGAACACTGAGCCAAGCAGCTCAATAAATGGAGGCATTACATGACAACTGGTAAGACGGACAGTTGTGACCCTAAGCTCTCAGCGATGACACGCATGCAGAGCCATTCAACGTGCCAATGTAAATGTTAAGCAAAAAACAAGCATGCAAAAGGAGAGCCAAATGTGAATGAAGTACTCTCTGTGCTGCCTACAGCAACCAGCCAGCTTAGTTTCCTTTTAAATAATGGGGAAACTGGTCAGTTGCCATTAACAACACAGATAATTCCTAAGATACCTCTGACAATGAGGCCAACTGCTTACAGCAGCTGCGCTAAGAGCTAGGCATGCAGTCTCAGTGTTGTCTTAATTCGAAAGTCCATTCTACAACAGCTTTGGTACATTTTGGGTGTGCTTCCTATAGCATATCTAGGTCGCCAGCGTGCCATTATGTGACAAAATATATGACAGCGGGTGCTAAACCTTTGAGCCTTTGCTAATGTAGACAGTTGAAAAACTTGTTCCCTGGCCATAACAGTGAACCTTGCATTAAAGTTAAAGGTCCGCTTATTCTTTAGACCCCCCCACCCCCATGTAAAAACAAGGCATTAAACATAAAAAAAAAAAACCACAAAGTATACTTAACTTACTCATCTTCTGCCTGTTGTAGTCTCTCCGGTGAGATTTTGGTAAACTTCAGGATCCCAAATCTCACTAGAAGCCGCTCCTGCACTCTGCTGAGATTTGGGGTCCTTCTTTTCCAAGGAACTCAGCAGTTACACTGACCTCAGTGCTGGTAGGGGGAGGTCGGGGTATAAGGCAAGTCTATTACTTCTTTACTTTTTGGAATGTTTACCAATGCATTTTTACATGGGGGAAGAGGGAATCTAAAGAATAAGCGGATCATGTATTTTGATGCTGTTAAGTGGACAAACTGGTCTTACTCCTGAATTCTCAAAGAATTTATTTCCCCCCCCCTCATCCATAAGAATTTATGATACCTTGCACCAAGTGCCAATGACGTTCTATCCTTAGTCCAAGAAAAGGAGTAATAACAACATATAAGTTATAAAGCTATTAATATTTAAAGACAGTTACAAAACAAAGCAATCTTCAATGTAATAATATGAACACAAAGCAAAAACGGAGGGACAAATTAAACCCATATATCCGGGGCCACGTCATCCCGCAGGGAAAAAAAAAAAAAAGAGGCATGGCGGTCATTTTACAGCGACCAAAGCAAATGCCGTGTAAAGGAATCTTAACACTTTTCACGTCTAATCATACTGTAACATTAGGGGTAACTCTAAGAGTGGGGCAGTGGTCCCCCAGATTCCTAAGACCACACAAAAGTACAAGTCAGCGGATTGCAGAGAGCGGTGGCGAGGAGTGAAGTGGTGAAGCCCGGCTAGTGTCAGTTTGGGCTCTATAAAGAAGTGATACGGCGAGGCAAACGACCTTATCGGAGACAGTGCAGCCTGAATGCTTCGTCACACCTCTAAAATACAAACAGCATCATGTCAGATTGTCTGACAGTAAATTTGGGGAATAACATATATGGCAGTGAGGTGCTGCTGCCGGTATACACAACTGAACCAAAATAAAACAAAGTCAGCGGGTAAGTGGCGGAAAGTTTGACTATCTGGGGGTTCCGACAAGACCGTTCATACTATTCCTTCAATTTAATGAAGGAGTCGGCTATTTTCGAAAAGGTTTCCTCCTGCTGTTCGAGAGCGTCAAGTACGATCCCCATCGGAGTCTTCTTAAGTCCGGCGCCCTCAATCTTATTCTCGATCTTGTTCTTCATGTTACGGAGCCTCAGGGAGGCATGGATAAACATCACTGAGGAGGAAAAGGAGAAGGAAACTTAACAAAATTGGCAACCCACAAATCAATTTAGAACTAGGAGAAGGCAATGGAAGGAGAATTCTATACGAAGCCAAAAGAGACCAAGTCTGACCCAAACAGCTTGCCTGGTTAGATGTTAGATTACATCTGTCTCTAGGTGTAAAAGGTACACGTCTATCACAACTGATACTTAAAATGAACTCCAGGCAAACAGATAAATAAAACAGTCGAAATACAAATATGGGAACACGTTTAACTGCAAAAAGGTTTGCTTTTCTGTCCATTCACTCTGAAGAGTTACATACAACAGAGACGGGTTGGTGGCCTGACTTTTTTCCACTGCAGTTATGCATTACAGCCTGGTCACCTCCGTGCCTCTAGCCTGTGATTGGACAGTGAAGAAACAGCAGCAGAATGCCCCCTGCTCAATCTGTTAATGACCGGGTGACAGCATCTGTAGGTAGACGGCAGTCCGCATGTAACCGTACATGGTACGATTACATGTGGTTTTGAATAGATGACTGTTATTGGACGCAGAACAGATGCATCCAGCAACAGTCGTCTATTCGAAACTACATGTAAATCATACCATGTACATTACACGTGGACTGCCGCTTACAGATGCGGACGCTGTAACCCTGTCATTAACTTGAATGGCCATAGTGGCTGCATCTGAACGGGGACAGCTAGGATTCCTGCTGCAGGAATCCCAGATCACCCTATGTGAATGAGACCTAAAGTTCAGCTGGGCTTTAAAGTGACACTAAACTCAGGAGTTAAATCTTAAAAATGCATTCAAGTACCCTAACTATTAACAACAATGTATTTTATTTGTGTATCACTCGGCTGTAGATCCTCAAATCATCTCTGAATTGGTGGTGACAATGTCCTTCCTTCTGGAGGGTGGCTACTTTTGTTCACCATGGTCCCGGTGTGTGTTGTAAAGTAGCCACCGATCCAAGCACACTTCTGTGATGGACTACAATCTCAATACAAAATTAGTAAACTAAACCGTAGTTTGTAAACTATCATGGGAGAGAGCTTAGAGTGGTGGCTACTTTACAACACACACAGGGACCAAAAGTAGCCCCCCTCCAGAAGGAAGGACAGTGTCAGCACCAATTAAGAGATGATCCGAGGATCTACAGCCCAGTGATACACAGATGATACATTTTTGTTAATAGTTAAAAGGAGAATTATTTTTCACTCAATTGATATTCACTCAGCCTCATAATCTGAGCCGACCTGTGATAATGAAACTGTCACAGGTCGGCTCAGTAGTTTGGGAAGTGAGCGAACACATACCGGCGCTCGCTCACTTCTCAATCCTGTGCCGGCAGAGAGCCGTGACAGGGGAGGGACTGGATTCCCCCCTCCCATCCTCCAGCGCTGACTGGCAGAACGGACGGGGGAGGGTACAGCTGGCTCTGCCTCTAGATAGGCAGAGCCAGCTGTCACTCACACAGCTGGGTGGATCCAGACATAATTGTCGGGATCCTGCGGCGTCTCAGCTGTAGCGCGCGGTATACTGAGCTTTGGGTCACGGGAGGACGCTAGTTTATGTCCTCCCGTTACCCTTAGGAGAACTATGGGGAAAAGGCCTAACCCCATAGTTCTCCTTTAAGGCACTTGAAAGTATTTTTAAGATTTAACTCCGGAGCTTAGTGTCGCTTTAAACTGTACAAATGAATAAGCACACATCTGACAGCAAATGCAGAAAACTTACACAAAAGTGGCAAAGAAATTCCAAATACAAAAACCATGACGCCCCCGCACATGGATATGACAAAGTAGCTGCACAGCATGATGGACATGACAAACACGGTCGGGTATTGCTTCTTAAATTTCCTGACAAAATCCTTGTTGTGCGAGGTCCACACGAACGCCAAGAAGACCAAAGTCACCACCGTGCCTCCCAGGAGCATGTTGAAAGGACTTAAAAAGCTGAAATACAATAAGAGGCAGAAAAGCCAAAATATGTTATTTTCTAAATAATTGTGTATTTGTAATATATAGGTTATATTATATACATAGGAGAACATGATCAGTTTATCAAAAAATAATTAACATCCATCATTAAGGCTCATTCAGGCAGGCGTGCCGGAACGGACTGGATATGGTGGGAACGGGCCCCTACGGTGTGCACGCCCGTAAAAAGTCCCAATCCCGAAAGGGACAGGTGATGCGTTTAACTGCATGCAGCAGCCTGTTCTTCCCTATGGAAGATGCAGTAGCATGTAATTACATGCGGGTGCCCACACTAAAGGTGCCCATACACTGCTCGATTCTCGTACGAGAATCGCGGGAAATCCCGCGATCGTACGAGAATCGATCAGTGTAAACGGAGACGTGCGACCGTTTCTACTGTACGGTCGCACATCTTCCGTCGAACCAGCATGTTCGAACACCAGCCGGGAATCGTACGATTCTCGGCTGGTTAGAACGGTGCTCGGAAGACAAATGCCGAACCGGCCGGTGTGCGCACGCGCACACTGACCGTTCAGCATTGCGGTCATCGGAAGCCCGCCCCTCAGGGGGGCGGGCTTGCGATGATCGAGAGTGCGATCTGCCTGTCCAAGATAGGCAGATCGTACGTTTTTTTAATCCCTGTACAACCATCGCAAGACTAAGGTCTTGCGATGGTTGTAGAGTGTATGGCCACCTGTAGACTCATGCTGTCTGCAGGACGTGCAGATTCGAGTGTAATTGCGTGCAGCCGCATCCTCCCACAGGGAACACACAATTACACGCATCACCTGTCCCCCCCAAGATTGGGTCTTTTCTAGGGGCATGCATGCCGTATGGGGCCCGTTCACACCATATCCAGTGCGTTTCGGCACGGTTCTGTGCCCAGAACGCACTGGATCACATAAAGCAAGCCTCCTGCGTTCTGGGGCAGGAAGGGGCGTGGTGCCATTCATGTCAGTGGCACTGCAGACATGCCTCCTGCATTGCGATATTCCGCACCAGAATGTGTGGTACAGCAATGTGCATGCACTTTTTTTTGCGACCGCACCAGAACGCAGGCCATTGCTGTACCATGGGTTTTGGTGCAGGTGATCGCACTGCGGGTGGGAGTTGTGTCTGCAGTGCAATTATCATGAATAGCACCACACGCCCCCTCGCGCCACAGAACGCAGGAGGCTTGCTTTATGTGATCCAGAGCGTTCTTGGCATGGAACCGTGCCGGAACGCTCTGGATGTGGTGTAAATGGGGACTCAGGACGTGCACGGCCATCCAAATTTCCCCAGCGGGGACAAAGGCAGAAGTACAACCTGACTGAGGTTCTAATGTTCCCCACTCACAAAAAAAAAAAAGGCTTTAGATGCACAACAGGGTGCGACTCCTAATAATTTTGTTTTCATTTTAGTTTTGGAGAGAGTGAGGAGGATATTTGTGCTCTGTCGAGTCTTATTAATTAATTTGTGTTTTTTTAACCTTATCTAAAGTTAGATCTAAATTTGTTACAAGCATGGTTTAAAGAGGGACTCCAGGAATTTTTCTTTTATTAACCCCCGCACTGCAAGGGTTAATAAGTGCTCATTTTGTTCTAGGGGCAAAAAAAAAAGTTATACTCACCCGATCCTCGAAGTTGGCTAAACCTAACAAGTGTCTTTTCTACTCTAAACTCTGGTATGTATGTATGTATGTATGTATTTATTTATGTATGTATGTATGTATGTACTATAATAATATAGATATTATCGATTTAGTTGTGTCACCACTCCCAGAATGCTTTGCAAACGATGACTTGGTGACACTTGCTAGTTACCCAATCAGCCCTGATCCATCAGAGCAATACCCGTATCATTTGAAATGTCCAATTTAGCCCTCCACCTGCTGTGGTCAGTCTTTCTTTCCCCTCTTGCAACACGAAGAGAACGTGGCCGCCTCCAACTCTTGCGTCCAGCGCGGCAGAGGTGGGAATTAATGAGCGCCGGGTTATATTTAGCTCACAAATAGCTACTTCTGCCGGCCTGGAAAAAGTGAATAAGTTCAAAGCCGCAGGAACTGAATGTTAGCAGATGTGCGGAGACCAGAACCAACACCCAGTAATCACAGCAAGAAAATCAAAGTCAAGAGCTCAGAGCTTTCAGCATGCAGTTCTTGTACTGAACCCTTATACTCTACAAAGCAATGACTCCTTTGTACCCATAAATAAGGGAATTTAAAGTGATATTAAAGTCAAAAGGTTATTATGCTATTGTAAATGTTGATGAAAATCACTTGCAATCGATGCCGCTACTTGATGTTTAAAGGAGAACTATGGGGTCAGTGTTTTTCCCCCATAGTTCTCCTTAGGGTAACGGGAGGACACAAACTAGCGTCCTCCCGTTACCCTACGCTCAGTATAACGCGAGCTACAGCTCGCGGTATACTGCAAAGCCGCAGCCGGAGCGGATCCCGACTTAGACGTCGGGATCCGCCCAGCTGCGTGAGTGACAGTTGGCTCTGCCTATCTAGAGGCAGAGCCAGCTGTACCCGCCCCCTCCCCCGTCCGTTACGCCAGTCAGCACTGGCAGATCGAAGCGGGGAGGGGGGAATCCAGCCCCTCCCCCGGTCACGGCAGAGAGCCGTGACAGGACCGAGAGGTGAGCGAATACGCCGTTATGTGTCGCTCACTTCCCGATCTACTGAGCCGACCTGTGACAGTCTCATTGTCACAGGTCGGCTAGAACTATGAGGTGAGTGAAAAGCACTCATCTCATAGTTCTCCTTTAAAAGTTTCTGCTTCCTGCAGAATCAACTGGTACCATGAACACGGATATTCTGTTTTAGGGTGGCTTCTTTCCTTTGAAGGGTCCTATGGAGACACCCTTGTGTGTGCTAGTTAGGCTGTGTGTGACTCCACAAACACACAGGCACAGCAAGCCAACCCAGTCCTCTGCTCTCCTTTCTTTAAGTTAGTAGATGGATGGCTTCTGAAAACTGCTTTGTCCCTTGTGATCTTGTACTGGACAGGAAGTTCAGGGAAATGGAACTCAAAAAGATGGAGCTGTATGCGAACATGATGCCTGTAAGTGCTTGGGCAAAAACAAAGTAATACTCTGACTAGGGTTGCAACCAACTAATTGATCAATAATAAGCTATGAGAATAGTTGTCAACTATTCTCATTATCGATTAGTTGGTTGGATCCCCTAGGTCTCTCCTCCACGCTGGGAGGAGGGCCCAGCAAGCAGTGACGGGTGCAAAAGCCAGCCTGTTATTGCAATTTGAAATGGCCAATAGCAGGCTGGCTATTGCACCAGCCCACTACCTGCTATATTTACATTCAGCTGCCATCTGCGGAACCTTGCCACTGGCAGCTCTCATTGTCCGGGGAAAGCTCTTCTAGAAGTATTAGCGTCCAGATAAAGAACACCGGCAGGGATCACAAATGGCATTCCAGGATTCCCTCGCTCTGCCAGTAAATATTGATCGCATCCATTTCTAAGCTGCCCAAACAACACTCGGGTTTAAGAGTTCTGTGACTCAGGAGGTCCTGACAACGTACAAACTTACATTGTATAAAGCTCCAGATCCGGACCTCAGAAGAGGGTATTTCTATTATTATTCATTTGCAATATTTGTATCGAGGGGCCATAACAGATGGAGGGTGAATGGACATACCAGTGTTGCAGCCCCACCAATAAACCAGCCGCCACACATGTGAGATCGCAGCTACAGGACAGATTCTTTTTGTGGTTTTGTAGCAATAAAACTTGATGAATTTTTTTAAACCTAAACTAAAAAAAAACAAAGAAAAACAACCATTTATGTATTCCTTAAAGTGTAATAGTGGCTTGGTTATGGACATTTTTGTAAGTATTTCCATATTCCTAACAGGCAGTACATAAGCTTTAGAACAAGCCCTACCTGACCTCTGTAGCTGCAGGCACTGTGAACCCATTCATCGTTAAAAATCACAGCACAGGTGCTGAAGTCATCCATGTTGAGCTCAGCCTATCTTATTAGCCCCTCCCAGCAGTGACTCAGCAGCTCTGTTGCCCCATAGCAGCTGTGATCCAGCAGCTCAGCGCTCCCTTTTCAACAATGGCTCTGCTCCCCTGCTCCCCCCTCCTAGCAGTGACTCAGCAGCTCTCCTCCCCCTTACACTCGGCAGCTTAGTTCCCCCCATCCAAGCAGTGACTCAACAGCTCAGCTCCCCCTTTCCAACAATGGCTCTGCTCCCCCCTCCTAGCAGTGATTCAGCAGCTCAGCTCCCCTTTTCAACAATGGCTCTGCTCCCCCCTACTAGCGGTGACTCAGCAGCTCAGCTCTCCCTTTTCAGCAATGACTCAGAAGCTCAACTCCCTCATCCCCAGCAGTGACTCAGCAGCTCAGCTCCCCCATCCCTGCATTGACTCAAACTCTGCAGTCCCTTCTTCCATGAAAGTACCTTCCTGCCTGTCAACATTTTTTTTTTGGTCCTGTACACGGAGCCGTGCATGTTCAGCTCAGTGCACAAGCTGTGCATGCCAAGAGAAAGTAACCCCTGTTAGCATCCGTGCGAGTGGCACCATCAGGGCCCGGGGACACAAGCAGACCACCGGGTTAAAGATGGAAGCCCCAGCGAGGGAGGCACACAGCACTGGAGGGGATCTCTTTGGCAGGCAAGTCTGCCACAATGTGCTAATGGGAGAGGGATGGACAGGGATAAGCCTGTTGGCTCCTCCCACCACTCTACTCCCTGCACAGGCTATATACAGTACAGTGATGATGTCACTGCTACATTTATAAGGTAACATCTGGGTTTGTAAGGCACTTGGTGCACACAAAGTGGATTGATATCCTTTGTGGCTATTGAGGAATATATTTCAATGACAGTTTTTGTGCCAGGAGTTCAGCTTTACTAGAAGCTCATTTTGAGCCACGCAGGATGGGATGTATGAGTCAGCCAGGGTGAATCTCCTACTACCAACAGATGGAAGATAAGAAAAGTGCTAAGCTGAAGGGTCATGGCTGTAAATGGCACAGAGTACAGATCTAAAACTTCTCGTCGGATAGGCTGACGAAGGGGTAAGGGCAGCTAAGGAATCAAACATGGACTATCCAGGACACCAGACGGTGTTCCCAGATTCAGCGCCCCCTGGTGGAACACGTGAAGATCCACCCTCTCAGCCAACAATGGAGGGAGATTGTAGGACTGGGAAGGGTTGCCATGGAAACAGAACCCTGACCCGCAACACTCGCAATGGGGAATTGCTTAATTCACTGTATATGGATTGTGCGTTGGACTTTAATGTACAATGCTTTGGGGTGCCATTCGCAATAAATAGCACACATGGAGCAACTGCATTGTCATGCCTGGCGGCAGCACAAGTTGGTGGTGCGTTTGCACAACGCACAAGTGTGAATGGGCATAGCAAGTCCTCCAATCTTTTATTCAGCCAGTTCACCTTCCTTGCTGTACAGCTCCTCTGCCCTAAAGCACGAGACTCCACTTCTGTATGCCTCTGTGGAGCCCCAATCACAATCTAGAATATGCATTTGTATTCTGCATACCCCCCTTTCCCTCCCACCCAATCCCAGACCAGAAACATGACACTGTTAGAGCTAAAAAGAAGAAAGTCCAGTAAGAAATATCAGTAACCCTCATCTTTCATTTCAACAGCCAGTGCAAGCCTGATTGAAAATTGCATCTGGTAATCAGCAGCTGAAAATGCAAAGCATGCTCCCTGAAGTGGACGTGCAGGACGTTTTTATATCCCTAGGAGATGATTTTAATTTCCATCCAAGTAATTAGCACCTCTGCCACACTGCAGAGCCAGCAGAGGCGAGTTAAGTCACTCAGCACTGCTAACTTAGCACTCGCAGCGGAAGTGAATGTGGATGCAGAGTGGCGAGAGTGATGGAGAAGGTGGGGACAGAGCACCGGTGTCCATTTTAACTGTGGGCACACATGGCAGCGCTGGAGAAGGGTTCCTGAACCCCGATGGAGGGAATCAATTCAGCGTGGGAACGTACAATTTAATGTTTTGATGGACGAGCACGGCAAATATTCCTTGAAAAATTGTATTTATTAGTCATAAATATCCTCCTCTGCCATTTTGCTTCCGAAGCGTTCAGTGAAACTGCTGCAGGGAACTGAAGTGCCACAGAACAGCTGCTCAGTGCTAAGGAACTGAACGTGTCTCGGGTAACAATCCGAGCTCATAAATCCTGCACACTGGACAGCCAATCAATGCCATGATACTCAGGGGTGTCTTAAAGAAGGGGGGGGGGCAGGGAAGCAGGTGGGTGTGCTGGCTGCCCTTGAGACTGGAGAAGGGGCAACTGCTCCAGATTCCGCCTGCTCCATTTTTTATAAATTCAAACCATTGTGTACGGGCCTACGAACCTGAACAGACCCGGACGTAAACAGGTGCACATCCGTTTACATGCGGCCTCCCAGAGGGGTACATTGCAGGCCATTTTTGATCTAATTCAGGGGAGGGCAACTCCGGCCCTCCAGCTGTTGTGGAACTACAAGTCCCATGAGTCATTGCAAGACTGAGTTACAGGAATGACTCCTAGAGGCATGTTGGGAGTTGTAGTTAAAGCACAGCTGGAGGGCCAGAGTTGCCCACCCTTGGTCTAATCCCTGTTTAAACAATTGGAGTGACGGAAGACACGTGTGAAAAAGGAGCCTGTCAGCCCCTCCACCATTCTATACTTGCTATAAAGGCTTCTATTGAGCTGCCTCGATCTACGTTCATTCGCCAGTCAGCGATTCCCAGCGACGCATTGCTGACGGCACCTAAAATAGGCCGAGATGCTCCCAGCAATCAGTAAAGCGTCGCTGAGAACTGACATCTGGATTACTCATTCCAACCACCAGCTGGGGACTCCAGCCACAGAACATGATAACTGGCGGCTGTTATTCACATTGCGTCAGTTCAATCCACGCAGCACATGAAACATGGCGGTACATAGAGCGCTCGCGTACGCACACCGTTCATATGAAGGACCATCTCTAGGGGGCAGCAATTAAAAATAGCATTAAAGGTAACAAGGGGCACATAACATGATACCAGCACACTGCCCTAGAGGGGGGGAAAAAAGCAAACATTTCCAGAGTGTATTTATAAAGCAGTGAATCGGACACTGCTCTAAACATTCACTGCCAGTGAATCTTCCTGGTGCATGGGATTTAAATGATACTCCAGTGAATGTTTGCTGAAAGTTGCATGTGCTGCTTTATAAATTTCCCCCCTTTGGTGCTAATCATGTGACCGGAGACTCAGAATATTGCTCATTATGTTACACCCGGCCAGCCCCGGCTCTCAGCGACAGGCGGCAGCGGCTCTCGGGGTCTAAGTTATGAAGATTGCTGCTAAGAATGTTGGAGTCGGACTGGAGTGGTTGCTCATGGCAACTATTTTCTTCTCATTTCACACTTATCTGTTGTGATAGAAAATTGCTCTATTTCCAGTGTCCTATAAATAGCCTATATTACATCACCTCCACTGTCCATGCTGAATCTTGTAGTCCCCCTGAGACCCCAGCTGCCTGTAGTGGATTGTGGACATGGACAGCCCATGCTTAGCCCTGTAGTCCCTCAGCTGCCTGTAGCTGATCCTGGATGGGCACAGTCTCATGCTGCGCTATGTAGTCCTCTGCAGACCGGATGCTGAGCCTTGTAGTCCACCTGAGGCCTTGGCTACCTGTATTTGATGCTAGCTCTGAACAGTTCATGCTGAGCCTTGTAGTCCCCTGGCTGCATGTGTCTGATCATGGACCTACACATGCTGAGCCTTGCAGTCTTCCAGGCTGCATGTACCTGATTGAGGCCCTGAGTTCCATGTTGAGCCTTGTAGTACCCTAGCTGCCTGTTTCTGATCCTGTACACGGAACAGTCCACGCTGGGCCTTGTAGTACCCTAGCTGCCTGTTTCTGATCCAGGACCTACAAAGTCCATGCTGAGCCTTGTAGTCCCCCAGGCATCCTCATCTAATCCAGGACCTGCAGAGTCTATGCTGAGCCTTGTAGTCCCCCAGGCTGCCTGTATCTGATCCTGTCCCTGCAGAGTCAATGCTGAGCCTTGTAGTCCCCCAGACTGCCTGCATGTGATTCAGGACGTGTAGAGTCTATGCTGAGTCTTGTAGTCCCCCAGACTGCCTGTATCTGATGCTGAGCTGTCATGGGATCCCTCTGTGCTGCATCATGCACTGACTCACCCCACCAGGCAGAAGACGGCAGCCACCAGGGCCATGTAGTTGGTCTGGTAGTAGAGCAGGTTGCTGACCACCCTGTTGTTCCATTTGGAGATGTCTTTGAGGTCGGGGCGGGAGAAGCGATCAGTGCCGGGGAAGAAGTCATCCCAGGCCCGGAGAGGAGCCACCTGGACGTCCATGTTTCTACAGCTGTCTAGTTGGATGTTCTGCGCAGGCGCACCCAGCCCATCCGCAGCCCAATGACTTCATTCCACTGCCCAGTGCGCATGCGCCAGCTGTCAGCGCCAGTACTTCCAATGAACACCAGAGGTCGGTGTGTTAGCGCAAGTCGCCATGTTGTGGTTGTCAAATTAAAGAGAACCTGTCAGCAACAGCTCATAAAATCAAGCTGCTAATGCTGGCAATACACGTATAATTCAAAATATTCAGCAAAACATTAGTATTCACCACTATTTTACTTTGCAAGACTGAACCAAAAACCTGGAACTGCAAAATGTAAATATTTCAGGAGGAAGGCAGCGCTGATAAGAAGTACATTTAATGATAAATAGACTTTAAATAATACATCTATTTATATACATTGAATGACAAAAAAAGGACAATAGAGGAGGAGATAGAAAACAATGACCGCACTGCGCTGTAATAAATACATTGTTGCTCAGTATTCATGTTTTTAATAAAGTTATTTTTAAAAAAAAGGCGCTGAAGACAGTTTACAGTCTGTCAGCGCTGGCCCCGCCCCCCGAGTCCCGGTGCACTGTGGGAAGTGAAAGGCTGAGGCGAATATGGCGGATGCTGAAGAGCCGTGAGTATCCGTGTGTGTCCAGCTAGGGTCTCCTCTGTGTCACAGGCCGGGAGGGTGAGACCCTTCTTTTATTCTCTCTCTCTCTTTTTAGGGAGAAGAAAAGAAGGCGGATAGAAGAGCTCTCTGACAAGTTAGTGCTGGCTCAGGGGAGATGTTAGAACATGGACAGAGGAATCCCCCCTAACCCATCCCCAACCCCTTCATACAAAGGCCATGGGGGGAGAGGTGGGGCGACCTGTCAGTCACGTGACCTGTAGACCATCACCACATTGAGGAGCAGATAATATTGTCCAATGGGGCTTCACTGGAACGTAGATTGCAACTTTTGTTTCTTCCTTTTTTTTTTTTTTTTTTTGAGGGCATGTCCACCTAAAGTAAAATGTGTGCCAAAATTGTCACTTTGTTGTTTTTATTTTTATTCAGTATTTTTATTGGAAAGTTTTTGAAAGGAATACAAATAAACAAATGACATAGAAGACCCAACATTGACAGTATAGTGCAGCACATTCAGTCAGGGCC